CTTACATTTGCCGGGTGCGGTGGCTCACGCCTGTAATCCTAGCTCTCTGGGAGGCCGAGGCGGGCGGATTGTTTGAGCTCAGGAGTTCGAGACCAGCCTGAGCAAGAGCGAGACCCCGTCTCTACTAAAATTAGAAAGAAATTAATTGGACAACTAAAAATATATAGAAAAAAAAATTAGCCGGGCATGGTGGCGCATGCCTGTAGTCCCAGCTACTCGGGAGGCTGAAGCAGGAGGATCGCTTGAGCCCAGGAGTTTGAGGTTGCTGTGAGCTAGGATGACGCCACGGCACTCTAGCCCGGGCAACACAGTGAGACTCTGTCTCAAAAAAAAAAAAAATACTCACATTTGCAAATTTATCCTAGTTATGTAACCTAGCTCATGCTTGGCCCAGAGTCTGAATATTTAGCCAGGACTACATCAGTAGTCTTATTAAGGTAGATAGCTACAGATATAGAATTTTGACCAGGTGATAGGAAGGGGTATACCTAGACCTAAGCAGAAAAAAATCTAAAGCTTTCCATGGTCAGAGGGGCAACTCATAATAGCAACTGCTAGACCTATGCATGACGTGGCCCGGCTTCAGACCGAGGAATGAACACAGAGACATAAAGACGCAGACACATGACTGCAGCCTGTACAAAAAGACACAGACACCACAAGACAGTATGAGGCTGCAGCGAAAAGCTTTCGCTGAAGCTGTTTATTTATAATACAGGCTGTTTGGCAACTGTCCCACTGCAAGTTCTTTGTTCCCACACCGTCCCGACTCAACACGTCCCAGTTCCTTGTTGTTTCGTCTCCGGCAAACAGATGTTTGCATCTCAATTCCCTAGCCCCTCCTGTTTGCAGAGAGAGGACGCTCTGGACTTGCATGCAAGGTCACAGACATATTCTTGAGAGAAACAACAAGGAAACTTTCCCAGACAAAGGTGTCCTCTACATATGCATGGATGGTGGGAGGAAGGATGAGGGCAAGTAGATAAGACTGCAGTCTCCAAGGTCTGTGGAAGAGGATTTGTGGTAGGAAGATCAGTGATTGAGTCTTAATCCAGTAATTTATCAGTTGTGTGACCTAGGGCAAGACTCTATCAACATTCTCATTTATAAAATGGGTATAAATACCTTCAATGTGAAATTGCCAATTAGTAAGGGCTCCATAAATGTTTGCTGAATCTGAATTTCTTATTCTGACCAATAGGCTATCAAGCTGAACCAAAATAGATCACAGCAACCAAAGACATAAAAATTAGATAGAATTCCAATAAATAAATGCAGATATCCTGTCTTCTTAGATAAGATTAAATATCATAAACATGTCAGTTCTTATCAAATTATGTGAGTGCAAGTTTAGTAAAAATGCTAACAGCTTTTGGATTTGGACAAATAGAAAGAATAAATAGGTAGAGATATAAAACAAAGATTCTGGAAAAGGAGAGTAGGGGATTGGTGAGAGAGAAAGGCGGTGAGGAAAAGCTCTAACAGATATTAAAACAAAAAACTACAATAATTAAACGAGTGAATACGCACAGAAAACTTCAACAGTATATCCTAGAAGTAGACCCTACTAGTTAGGAAAAATCCAATGATTGAAAAAAATCACCATAAATCACATTCAACTCATGAGTTTGGAATATGACAATTTGAAAAAAATCTAAGTAATGTCTCCCTTCATATCAGATTCAGCTATAAAAATATATAATAAAACCAGAAGAAAATAGGAACAAAATTTATTAAATTATTAAATGAGACTGATTAAATTTTGAAGGGACAGAAGAGATCACAAAGGTAAAGGTAAACACTGAAAGATTTGATTAAAGAAAAAAATCTTTTGTAAGCTAAGCAAAAACAAAAAACCTCTAATCAAAATTATAATGCAAATATATTAGAAAAAATATTGCAGTCAAAATGACAAAGTATCAGTGCTACTTTATAATTCAAGGCTCATACAAATGGGAAGAAACCCTAAGCAAATTCCTTGAGTTTGTTATATTGGTGCTTTGAGGGTCTATATAAGTAAGTTTGACAAAATTAATTAAAACTATTTGGTAATTACGGGTTTGGATTTTTAGGTTAATATCTTTTTTTTTTCTTCTTCCTCCACTTTGGCCAGATTTTTTTTCTTTTTGGGTTAATATCTTTTATCTGAAGACATATACATTTGCAGTAAAAATGAACCAGTAATTAAGGCAAAGACCAAATGGATCAACTTTGGTCATTAGATGTTTTTCTATAAATATATATATATTATTCAGTAATTAAAAGCGAAAAAGTCTTTTTGGCTATTTTAGGAGGCACGTATATACATCATGTATATTCTGGCCTGTAGTATTTGCCTTAAGTTTATGAAAGGTTAATATGGGAAGCAAAGTCTCAAGAAGGTGGCCTGTTCAGGAATTTTCTGCACTAGCTGTGCAGAGGAGCCAGGTAACTAGCACTGCTCTGGCGTTAATCTCAGGAGCCACTAGCAGTCCTGGGGCGCCGCCAGTCTAACACGAGCACAGATGCTTCATGACAGACATTTCTAGCATGTTCAATGGCATAATGTCTGGCACTGTATTTTGAATGACATTAGTTTATTAAATAAATTGTATATACATATACATAAAAGAAAGGTAAACAAAAAGTTCACAGTAGTATAAAGTTTCAAGAAATACTAGAGAAGTGTATAGTTGCTAAAAGATCTATTTGTACATTGAAAGTTTATTTTGCTCCTAAATTTGACATGGCTAATTTAATAAATTACCAGAGCAGCCTAGAATTCTTCCTCCTCTCTCGGCCTCCACACATCCTGCAGTGGTCGGCATTTACAAATTAATTGGTAAATGACTGAATGAAAGCAAAATATGGTCCTTTAGAAGAGATTTTTATTTTCTTGAAACACAGACATAACTGACATTTGTGCACTACATAGAGCAGCTTAAGACATATCAGAAATGGATTACAATTCACGTTACAATATTGATAAACATGATGACAGGTCTGATGTTTCCCCAATTATCTTTGAAAACTTATTTGCTATTAAAATACCACAGCATACTAAACTGGCAAGTTTACTTCTCATTTTAAAGGGTAAGATTGATTTGGATCAGTCAAAAACCAATGCACAAACCATTGTCGAAATGTAATATAATACCTTATCTAGCATCACTCAAGAATGAAGCATTCTACCTAAATGTGTTTTAGTCAAATAACAGTTTTCCTTCTAAAGTCTAAAATTGCTATTTTAACTACTCTGGATGGACTAATGTGTAACATGCCTTCTTAAACTTTAAAATAGAACATGCAGAGTGTAACAATGTTCTTTTATTAATATTCCTCATTAGCAATATGAAACACTTAGTTTTCTAGTGTAACCAAATATCCTAAAAGTTTACCAAGATGGGTCTTTGCCCTACTATTGATAACCCAATATGGCTGTATTTTTAAAACTGTCAACTTGTTAATTATTTTTTTGGTCACATTTAATTGTCAGCTATTAGTTCTTGCTTTCATTAAATGTTTTCTGTTATTGTTCTTACCCCCTTTAATATAAAAGTTAGGGTACAGCAACAAAACTACATAAACCTTTGATGAACTGATGGTTCTCTCAAAGAAGGTCATTCCTTTGCCTCTACAGTTTACAGAAGATTATATACTGAGCAAGGAAGGAATTGAAGAAGGGAAATTTGGAAAGCAATGTGTTTACAGATAGTGATCAGATTACTATCACAACTGTCCTTAAATTTGTAGGATTTCATCTGTTTTAGGTTGGGAAACCACAAAACTAAGCTATTTAAAACTACTTCTAAAGTAAGATCAGCTTTGAAGAAGGGTAGGCAGTAATACTACAGTAAACTGCAGGAGCATTCAAGCATGAGTATTTGACAGCTGAAGCATTTATATATTTTTGCTGCACACAGTTTCAGTTTGCTTGTTTCTCATTTTTATTTCTCAGCCATAGTTTAGAGTTTTGGCATGTGATCTCTCACTAAGAAAACTGCTACTGCACCATTATTTTATTAGCTATAAATAAACCACTGAATAATACTAAATAGTAATGAAAGGAGTTTTGCAACTACTTTCTTTCAACTGAAAGTATAATGATCAAGTTTAAGTGTTTTCTTGAGGAAAAAAACAGTAAAAAACCCGAAAAAAACAAAGACTTCCGTCTAGGAAATAAGTAGTACTATTCAAAAATGTCAACTCATATAAATGTTAGAAACCTTATTCCTTTTGTGACCTTTTCAGATTTAATTCACGGTATCTTAACATGTCCCTGGTGGTCTAGCGGTTAGGATGCAGTGATCTCACCACTGTGGCCTACATTTTTTAATTAAAAACTTGAATAACTTTCAAATAACTTTATTGAATTCAAGATAATGATTGAACTTGTATCTATATTTTTATTTTTATTAAGATCGTTGTCAGTGCTAAACCTGTCAATCAAAACTAAGGTTTTGGTTAATAGGAAACCAGTATCTACTATGATCTATCAATAGATTTTTTTGTATACAAACTAAAGATAATTTAGTTAAGTTTTTAGAAAATTAATATAACAGTTTTTCTTTAAAGTTTTCATAATTTTCACTTTAAAAATGTAAACCATCTCATATAAGGAAACTGGAACTCAAGACTAATGTAACAAAACCATTTTTAGGAAATTTCCTAATGCTTTGCATTTTTTTCCATATATCCTATGCATCATTAGCATAGTAAATTATGTTAAATATCCTGTTGGCATTCATTATGTTAAAAAAATATTAATATATCAGTGAAAAAAATAAAAGCACATTTTGAACATCTGTGCTCCATTTATGAACACATATTGTAGGTAGAAATTTCCGTCATTCGATATTCATTAAATATTTATTAAATGCAGTGAGCAAAGTGCATTCTATACTTAGTAAATGGTGAGAACATTGAGCCACAGCCTATTCAGTATGTATTGTTACTGAAGATAATATATATCACAATTTAAAGATAACTTTCTATTTTATTACTGCATTTTCATATTTTACTTTCACTTATGTACAAATAGATTAGATGATTTTTCCTTTTGAAACTCTGAATTTCTAGGCATTTGAAGAATACTTACTGAACTCAAAACATTCCATTGGTAATTATAATGTTTTTGATTCAAATAGAAAGCTACCTCTGTACATTTTTTAAAAAAACCCAAAAAACAGAAAAATCAATGCTTTTACAATCTTACCTAATTGGGCATCAATATTATGATAAGATTTTTAAAATGACTTGAGGCTGTGCATATAAGGTATTTATGTTATATTATGACCTTGTATTCCATAATACAAGTGATTGCATACTTAATAAATATCCATGAACCAATTATAAATCATAAAGTGTCTCAAGAATACTAGCAATTGACCAGGCTTGTGTTTCACAGCTAAAAGGACAGTATTGGCCATTCTCATTGGTCAATTCTGGAAGTCCTTTCCAAGGAGATCTGAAAGAAAGAAAAGACATTTTATGAGTATAATCTAACACATATTAACAAAATAGGCAAGACCTGTTGATTTTTACCTTCTAGTATAGAAAACAATCCATATATAGTCATTTGCTAAATAAAACAATATCCTCAAGATGCACATATAAAGAATTTAGACTGAAATAATTATTTCATATTCTATCTTTGGGATTTAAGACTTACAAATACAAAGGAATCCCTTCATGTATTAAAATCATAGACAAAACCATCATTAAAAGCAATATATAAATATGGAGACAAATACTCTCTCAGGCATAATTTTATTCCTTTTGGAGTATGTTCATAAGACTAAAATTGTAATTATGCAGGCATATTACGTAGGATCTTGATAAGATTGTATAACTAAATGAAGTAATGAAGAAACACTAAGAACTATGATTAGGAAAAAAATGCTATTCTAGAGTACTTTCTACTTAAAAAAGCCAATTTCTCATTCTACTGAATAAATTTAGTATTTATTATGCATTTATGTTTTAATATCAAGCACTTTATCTACATTATCTCATTTAATGTTCCTAGTAACCTTATAATGTAGGTACCATAATTATTCATATCTGTAGAGAGGTAACAGATTTACAGAGGTCAAATAAACTTGTTACAAGTCTATCAGAATATAGCATTAGCATATCAAACTTATTCTTAATTTCAGCATAATCCCTTATATATGAAATATAAATTTATAAAAACCAAAAATACAGAAATCTGTAATGTTTCTTTTTTAAGTTGGGTTGTGGGAACATATTTGTTTCATTATTAATGCTATTTGTAACTCAGGGCTATGTTACATATACTCTTCTGTAGTTTCCAAATATTTCACAGTAAAAATTGAAAAAAAATAATTCTACTGGATAAGTATAGGATATTTTAGATAATAATTAATAACAACATCGGCTGGGTACCGCATTTAAAAAAACTGTCATAGAGAAATGAAAAATATAGAAAACATTTGTTTCTAAGTATTCAAGCCACCTCAGACTAAAATGCCAAATTTCTGATGTCGGATACCTGGGTACTTGTAATGGGCTGAGGTGGGTCCCCTTCTTAGAATTCGTATGTTGAAGTCCTAACCCCCAGTACCTCAGAATGTGAATCTATTTGGAAATAGGGTCATTGCAGATGTAATTAGTTAAGATAAGGTCATACTGGAGCAGGGTGGGCCCTAATCCAAGATAATCACTGTCCTTTTAAACAGAAGAAATCTGGACACAGACACGCACACACAGTGCCACACGAAAATGGGAGTTTTGCTGCCACAATCCAAGAACTACCAGCAGCAAGGAAAGAAGGCTGGGAGAGATCCTTCCCTAGCACGTTCAGAGGGAGCATGGCCCTGCCTCTGCCTTGATTTCAGATTTCTGGCCTCCAGAACTGTGAGACAATATTTTGTTTAACGATTTCCATTGTTTGTCACTCAGTTTGTGGTGTTTTGTTATGGCAGCTCTAGCAAACTAATATACTACCAAAATTAAGGAACAAAACAAGGTTATAAAACCACTAATATGCTGCTCATAATTAGATCTGGACACAACAGGGAACATACCCATACTATTATAAGGATTTCCCCATTCCTAAAGTCATTAGGTAGGACACAGCAAGGTAGGTCACCACAACTGGGGAGGAGAGGAGGGAAGGGTAACAGGTAGTATGGAGTGGGATATCAGAGCCCAAGAGGTATGAGGAAGGAGCTCACACCAAGCACTAAGGGCAAGGGTGGGCCATAGTAGGTAATCAGAGCCCAGGTGGCACAAGAAGGGCCTCCACCCACGGAGGTGGCCTACTGTGGGGCATCAGGCCCAAACAGGCTGAGCAGAGTCCATGTAGTGGTGACAGCCCAGTGTGGGAAGTAGGTTAATCACTGTTGGAAAAGAGAATCACAATATGGGAAGGGAGAAAATGGAATTAAATACTGAGCAACAGATTGGAACTGGTGTGAATTCAGGTTTTCAATATATATAGAGAGACAGAACTACATGTGTGCATGCATATATCTATGTATGTAATATATGCATTCCTTAGCTCTACCAACTGGGGGGCACAGAATATGCCAAGTGCCCACATCTGGCTTCTAAATAATATTTGTCACTATAAAGAACCAGGGCTCCTTCTTGCCTCTGAATCTAAAAAAAAAAAAAAAGAAAGAAAAAGAAAAAAAGAACCAGGGCTCCTGAGAGAATTGCCCAATTCCAGGGCTGTGGGCATCAAAGTAAAAGATAAACCTAGAACATCTTGCTGAGCCAGAGAGCAAGGACTTCTATATGTGACAAACAGGAAGTAGTGTGGACAGAATTTCTTTCCTGTATGATACAACCAAAGAACTAGACAGGCTGAGTGTGGTGGCTCATGCCTATAATCCTAGCACTTTGGGAGGCTGAGGTGGGGGGAATCGCTTGAGGCCATGAGTTTGACACCAGCCTGGGCAACACAGCAAGACTTCCGTCTCTACAAAGTAAAAAAAAATTAGCTGGGTGTAGTGGCACACTCCCATAGCTATTTGGGAGGCTGAGGTCGGAGAACTGCTTGAGCCCAGGAGTTCAAGGCTACAGTGAGCTATGATTACACTGCTGCACTCCAGCCTGGACGACAGAACAAGACCCTATCTCTTAAAAAAAAAAAAAAAAAAGGGACAAGTATATGAGGCAATAATTTTTAAGACATTAAATAGGCAATGAAGAACAGTGATCCCTGAAAATGAGAAACAAATGAAGCAAGCCATATGATTGCTACACTTTACTGCCTTGAGAGAGTTTCCAGGGTTTGGTACAGGGAGGGGAACACAGATGGAGCCTCCTTGAGTTGAACTGAGAATTAGGAAGACTAAGGCAGGTACAGTTTGCAGGACAGAGGTCTGGAGAGGAGGGAGCTGTGCCAAGAAAGAACTCTGAAGATATGCAAAGGGTCCCACTCAAGTATTTGTAGTGTACCGATTAGCGAATTCATAGGAGAGAACTACTCAAGAATGAAGAGAGAACCAGCCAAAAGGATTAGATGAAGCAGTACATGACACTTCCTTGTTCCCACCAGCCAGATTTGAAAATTTCTTAATTTTAGGGAGATAGGGTAGAGAATTTAGATGGGTCTTGACTCATTAGTGGAGAATAATTAGTCCTAGACTATATGCTGTTCTGGTCAGGCCTAACCAAGCTTAAAATCAACACCTGAAAGGATCAAACTGTTTCCAAGTAGTTTAACTGCATTCTAAAATAAACTCAAGAAATTTGTATTTACAGAAATACAAAAAAATCCAGCATCCAACAGGGTAAAATTCGTATCTGGTATCTAACAAAAAAAAAATAACTAGGCAAAGAAGCAGGAGAATGTGACCCATAATAAAGAGAATAAGCATAAGCAAAACCAATCCAGAAATGAATTAGCAGACAAGTACACCAAAATAGCTACTGTAACTATGCTCCATATGTTCTTAACATTAAGCAGAAATATGTTAGAGATGAAAAAGACCGAGATAAAACTTCAAGAAATGAAAACTACAATGTGTGAAATGAAAAACACACTGGATGGAATTGATGGCAGATGAGACGTAAGAATGATAGCAGATTTCTTGTCAAAAGAATGCAAGAACTTTAAAGCACAGAAAGAAAGAAACCTGTCAACCCTGAATTCCATACACAGTGAAATTATCTTAAAAATGAAGACAAAATAAAAACTTTTCACACTTACATGAATTGAAAGAATTTATCATAAGGAGGCCCACAACTACAAGACATGATAGAAGAAGTCCTTCAGGCAGAAGGTAAATGATACCAGATGAAAATATGGATAATCATAAAGATATGAAAAGCACTAGAAATGGCAACTAAGTGAGTAACTACATAAGACTTTTTTCTGTATTATTTAAATATCCTTAAAAGATAACTGTGTGCTTAAACAAAAATAGCAAGATTGTAGTGTAGGGGTTATAACATATGTAAAAGCAAGATGGATGACAATAATAGCACGAAGACCTTGAGGGAAGAAATGGAACTATACTATTTTAAGGATCTTATACTATACTTGAATTGGTGTATTACCTGAAGGTAAAATATAAGGTAAAGATGTATACTATAAACCTAATGCAACCTTAAAAAACCAAAATAAGAATTATAGCTAATTAGCCAAGAAGATAAAATGGAGTAAAAAATATTGAAAAGATGTACAAAAAGAGGAAAAGGCTAACAAAGAACAGATAGGATGAACAGAAAACAAATAGATTTAATTGTAAATGGTCTAAATGCTGCAAGGGCAGAGATCATCAGGCTGCAATAAGAGAGCAAGACCCAATCATATGCTTCTGTGTAGAAGAAACCCACTTTAAATACAAAGACACAAGTAGGTTAAAAATAAAAACATGGAAAAGTAGATACTGTGGTAACAACTAATCAAAAGAAATCTGGAATGATTCTATTAATACCAAACATGGTAGATTTTAAAGCAGAGAAATATTACCAGTAATAAGGAAGGCTATTTTATATCCATAAAGGGGTCAATTCATCAAGAGAACATAACCTTAAACATTTATATACCTAATAATACGGTTTCAAAATACATGAGGCAAAGTTAATATATCTACATAGAGAAATAGACAATTACAGTAGATTTCAATACTCCTGCACCTACAATTTATAGAACAAGTAGACAGAAAATTCCTAGGAAATTTGAACAACACTATAAACCAACTTGACCCAATGACATTTATGGAATATTCCACCCAATGACAGCAGAATACACATTCTTTTCAATTGCAAATAGGTTATCTAGATAGAACATATTCTGAGCCATAAAGCAACTATCAATAAATTTAGAAGGATTAGAGTCATACAAAGTATATTCCCTGACCATAATGGAGTTAATTTTGAAAACATTAACAGGACATCTCTGGAAAATTCATAAATATTTGAAAACTAAATAACACTGTTCTAAATTACCTAAGGGTTAAAGAAGAAATAAAAAGTGAAAACAGTATTTTCAACTGAATGAAAATAAAAACACAACATATCAGAAGCTGTGGGATTCTACTAATTTAGTATTCAGTGGGGAATTTGTAGCATAAAGCACCTATACTGGAAGAGAACAAAAGTATTAAATCAATGACCTCAATTTCTACCTTAAGAAACTAGAAAATGAAGAACAAATTAAACCTAAAGTAAGCAGAAGAAAGGGAATAATAAAGAGTGGAGTAGAAATCAATGAATAGAAAACAGAAAAACAACAGAGAAAAATCAATGAAACCAAAAGCTGGTTCTTTAAGAAGATATATAAAATTGATAAAGTTCTAACCAAGCAGATCAGAGAAAAAGGAGAGAAAATACAAATTATCAAGAAAGAATGGTGACGTCACTACAGGTTCTTTAGATAATTAAAAGATGAATAATTCACTTTAGATAAAACCAGTTGTTACAAGTATTTTTGATCTATCTTCTCATGCAAGTTCAACAGCAACTAATGAGACAATATTATTCTCATTTTATAGATGATGAAATCTATTTCAGGGAGGTTAGATAACTTGCTTAAAGTCACATGTAAAGTAAGCAGCAAGGACAGAGCTTGAAATCTAATCTGAACCTGAGGCCCACACCTGAGGCTACTGAGCTATCAAAGTAGCATACAAGAGACAGTAATAAATAAAAATGGAAAGGTGTTTTGAGAAAAGATTGTGGAAACTGAGGTATGTGGATTTCTTTCTGTAGGCAATGGGGAATTACTGACAATTTCCAAACATAAGATTAAAATTGTGAGAGTTATACTTCAACAAAATTAATCTGGTTTGGGGTAATGTGACAAGGTAGATAGGACACTGAAGTGTGAGGCCACTGCCTACTCCAGAGAGAGGTGCTGAGTTACAAATTGGGAAGTGGGAACAGAAAAAAAAAGGTGAGCTCTTACAAGGTGGCAGTGAGAGAATCAAGTCTTGACAACTTATCTGGATGTTCTGAGGAGGTAATGAAGAAACATTATAAAGTTTGAGCTTGGAGAACATGAATAATGGCAATACTATAACAGAAATGGAAACTATAGTGAGAAAAAAACGTGTGGGAAACATCTAAGGTAAGAAGTTCATCAGTTGAAAAGTAGAACTGAAGCTTGTGAAAGAATCTGAAATTATCTGAATAAGTGAAGACACGAAATGAGATGAAATATACAGGAGGAGATATAAAATAGGAAAGAAAGGAATATGAAGGACAGATTTTTGGAGAATGAATATATTTAGGTGTTAGGAAGATAAGCCAGTAAAAAGTAAAAAGAACACAGCCTGGGGAGCCAGATTGCCTGGAGTTTAGTAAGGGCTTGCCCAGGTTACCTGCTATTTGACTTTGTATAGCTTACTCAGCCTTTTTAGATAATTAATGATAGCTCATATCTGAGTTAGTATCTTGCCCATGTTACGTGTATTAATATTTTAATCCCCAAAACAACCCTAGCTTATCCATTATACAGATGAGGAAACTGAGGCTTAGAGAAGTAGCTCCTTCATGGTCACATAAGATAAAAAAAGTAGTAGTAGCTATTTTATATGGCTATTTAGATTAAATGAGGGATTTTATATACATAGATTTAGAACAATGCCTAGAACACAGTAAGCGCTCAATAAATTTTATTATTACAGTTGTTACTGTTAATAGGTAAACAAGTCAAACCTAATGCTATAGACAGTATAAGGTTTTTCTGGAAAGCAGGAGAAACCAATAGCCAGGTCACAGAAGAGCACTAGAAGGAAGTTGGGATCTTGGAAACAGATGGGATCTTGTTGAGGGGCTTCTCCAGAGTGGCGAGGGCAGAAGCAAGACTGAAGGTTGTAATCACTAAGTGGGTGGTCAGAAGGTAAAAGGAATTGGGAGGTTACTGCTATGGGAAGTTTGTGCTGGAAAGACAATGACAGGACAAGGTTTGAGATGGTAACGGTACAAAGGCCCATTTTAAGATGGGCCAACAAATATCTTTGTAGCTTAAGAAGGAAAGATCGAAAGAGGATAATCACTAAAGCAAGGTCGGTCATGGAACAGGTGTGAAGGGATGAGATCATAAGTAAATGTGGAATGATCCCTGTAGTGCCAGATATTTGTACTTTTCATGGTCAAAAGGGAAGAAAGAGAAAATAAATGCAAATAATGAGAAATATTACAGGGCAATGATGAACAGAATATAAGAATGTGCACATTACATTTACTCAGATTCAATCTCTAGATGAGGTAGAAGAAACATGGTAGGGTTGGGTTTTCCATGACTACATTTAAGCTAATGGAGTCAAACTTCGATACAACATTCACGATGGTAGAAGTCCCTTGTGTGCTTGCAAGACAGGAGATAAAATTATTCTGCTTATGTATAATTACTCTGAACAATAAAACATAGATATATTTAGGTATAATCTAGGATTTGAGAAATTAAGATAGCCTTTGACTGAATTTGTACCGTCTTATAAAGACACATAACTCTGACACTTGAGCTGCTAAGAATTAGGACAAAGGAGGTGAGAAATGGTTCTTGAAATAAGTCAAAAAGCAAACTCTGATATTTTAAGTAAAGCATTTCTGAAGATTATTTGCTGATGTATCTTTGAATCAATTAACTCAAAAGGCCCAGCCTGAGTACTTTGTTTTAATATCACCTTTACTAGTTTTACTTTTATTTTTTTAATTTAGCTTTTTTTTTAAACTTGCGTGGGGAGGTGGGGTGTCTTCCTGTGAGGACCGGAAAACCTACTAGACAAATTCTAAAAGAGCTGTAACACTACTAGTTTAATTTTTTAAAAATTTTTTGAATTAAAATTTTTTTCACTTATTTTTATTTATTTTTTAAAAAGTACTTTTACTTTTTGTATCTATCCTGTGCTAACCATATCCAAAAATATCAGCTAAGTTTTAAAAATCAAAGACTATTTCATATGTATAAATCATACAATATCAAGTCCTCAACTTCAAATAAATAACCTAAATAATCAGGGAAGGTGAAAATTACATGATAAGACTGGTTGTGTTAAAGAGTACAGGTTTCAAATTTCATTGGGATACCTAGGGGATATAGAAATGAATTCTAAGGAAATTTTATTTATCTAATATCTAATAAATTGACTAAACACTAGTTATGGAAATTACATGCCTCTGATGACTTACCTCTCAAGATGAACGTAATGTCGGGAAAGAACGTTTTTAACCAAAAATATAGTGTTTGCATTAGTTTCCGGACCCATTAATCTGGAAAAATATAATTTTGCACGAAGAAAATACCCAATAGGCCACAGCCACTCCTAAAAAAGATGTTTTAAAAGAAAAAAAAAGAACTATGAATATCTAAAATTATTTGAAAAATCATTTAAAATAAAAACTCAGAGGTAAGAAATTAAATTCTTACAGGTCCTTGATGATAATTGAAGCCTTTAGCAAGATTGTAGTTGTCATTGTCTAACGCATTGTCATAAATTCCACAGTAAACCATATCACTGCAAAATGATTGAAATTTAAGTTAAATAAAAGATCAGACATTATAAAAAGCATCAGAAAAATTTCGATAGCAAAGGTAAGAGAAATAATCAAATTATTTTGTCATACAATCTATAGAATAAGCTCAGCTTTAGTACATGATCCATTTAAATTTCACTCAGTATATACTGAGTTCAGAGGACTTTAACAATGTGTTAGGGAATGATTAACAAATACTGGTTAATGAAAAAAAAATAAGATATTCAGGCATCTTGCCTTCAAGGAGTTAGCCTGACACTAAATATTGGTTGGTTTAAAGTCAATTATTTCACTAGATCTTTAATATATGTACAATAATTAAAATATACATAGAATGATTTGAATTAATAAACATGCTTCTTCATGAACTTATTTTAAAATTAAAATTGGTGTATTATAAGATTACAAACAGCAACTTCGGTATACACATTGCTATAATACACAGAATTTATAATATATAAACATACATATAATGTTTAAACAATATTACAAACTTAGCAACAGATTATACAAGACGTTTATCTATACTCCATTTATTAAATTGATACTTTTCTTTTTTTTAGTGAAGTAGAATTGGCTGCATGAGTCAGCTTTAACTGTAGGTTTTAGTTTTGACCAGTGGTTCTTAACTCCTCTGAAAATGTGGAGAACATCTCAGAATGTAGATAAGAATACACATATAAAATTTTGCATCTCGAGACTGAAATGTGTACGAAGTAGGAAAAAAAATCTACAAAAGTTTTAGGGGCATGGGGTCCTGTTATCTATTGACATAGAACAAATTAATGATGAGTATCAAGCTTTCAGGAAAAACAGTTGAAGAAAAATAGGTCATTAGAAACTCAAGAAAAAACAGAAGTTGGAAAAGACAAGAAATATGGCATAAACGCAATCATAAGATAAAAACATTTATTTTGTAAGTAAAAAGAGTGGTATAATTGCATAGAAAGGATGGAGAGGAATAGTGGTGAAGTGAGAACAGAATTAAATCCTCATCTGTCATCACAAAAAGTAAACAAATCATGCCTAATATTTAAAAAAATCGCAAAATAGCTGCATGCACATATTATTTAGAAATATGGAAGGAACTACTAGGGGAAGCATCTTACAAAATAAAGATTGCCTCTGAGGAGTAGAATTGGGGGTGAGGAAATGCAGCAAGAAATTGAAATTTTTTATGTAAGTTCTTCTAGGTCTGTGCATGTAAGGTCCGAATTTATACAAAAGTGCACAGAAAAGACTGGGCAATAGGCCAGATGGTAGTGATGCTTATCTACGGATGAAGAGATTTTAAGAAATCTTACTTCTTTCTTTATATACATCTGTATTTTCCAATGTATACAATAATCATGTATTACAATCAGAAAAAATACGCATTAGAAAACATTCATTATATACTAGTTTTATAAATTTAAAACTCATTGATTATGAAATATAAAGCTAAAAGCGTTTTAAAAGCTAAAAGCGTTATTGATGCTTAATGAAGATTTAGAAGATGTTTTTAAAAACTCACTTTGATTGCAATTTTAGAGATGTTACTGGTAAGCAAAAATATTATGGTCGATGTCAATGTATTTGGATTGAATATAATATTAACAACATTCTTAATACTTATATTCCCACTTACTCTGGATCTAAAGTTTTCATGCCAAGGGGACCAAGCAATTTTTTCTCTGCAATCTCCAAAGCTTTCCATGCTTTTTCTATAGTAAAGAGCTCAGGTGCCTAATGAATGTTAAAACCAAATACACAAATGTTAAAGGTCACAGAAGAATTGGTTCCCACCCATACAAACTATTCATAAACTTGGAAAAGAATAAAAATTATTTAAACATCCAGTGTGAGTCAGAATTTGAGTACAGATGCCTAACCAGATCTAATCTTATGAGTTGTGGAAGCATGGTTCTTGGCCTTAGAAGTTAGGAAAGCTCTTAGAGGCGATTATTTCCCCGTGTCACTTCAAGAAAGTTACCCAGCTCCAAAAGGAAGTTGCCACAGCTACACCAAAGGCAGAATATACCTAAACTTATCCAATTCATTCTTCAGAAGATTTACAATAGCTTTCTTTAAGCATATCTGGTGCCCATTTGTTGCTTCTAGGATCATAATAAAATACAGAAGAACTTAGTCAACAAGTATTCATTTACTCCAATAGCACGAATAAATTTACCTGTGATGTGAAGGAGCAACAGTATTGTTGACCAAGAATCTGCATTCATTTTAACGGTTAAATGAAATCAAATGCATACTGAACCGATCCTTGCATACCTTTGCATTTTTCATTCTGCTGTAATTTATAGCTCTATGTTTAGTACTCTTCTTGACAACGAGGAAACAGCTAGACAGGCATGGAAGAACACAGGCCCTCTCTATTTTACTGTCCTTATAGTTTATTTTTAGATTAAAGTATAGATAAAAAATGAGAGAGTCTAGAATTCTTGGCTAGATAGAACTAATTACAGTAATACTACAAAGAAATAGAATATGAATTTAAGCTACCCACTTTAATTCGCTAGTTCAGAGCTTTCCATCTAGTGTGCTGAGGCACTGCTTGTGGCACAGGTGGCTCGAAATACAGACACCCTCAGTTTTCAGGGCAGCTGGGTGAGGCCTGGGCTAACTGGAACAGCTGGATCTAGCACAAGCAGCCTAGTCCATTTAGCCCAGTGTGCTCTAAAAATATCATTTTCTAAGTGTGCTATGATGTGAAAAAACACTGGGAAACACTTCATTAGTTATCATCCATTATTTTCTGTTTTTTTGCTGAATATTATAGTTTAAAGGTGATATGCATAATACTTTATTAATTAGAAAAGACTATATAACACTATCCAATAAGCAATACACTAATTTTTAGTAATTAAGTGAATTTGAAAACAAGTGAGAATAAAGAACTAAGTAAAACTCTATCACAACATTTTTTGAAATTTAAAATTAACGAACAAATCACTTACCACAACCATTGCTATGGTAAAATTAGGCCTGAGCTGGTAGTCGCACCAAGGACTTGAAGCTCCATAACTATCTTTGTATATGCCACGTTTGTGAACCAGATTTGGATGCTTTTCGTTTAAATCTGAAGGGTCTTCTGAAACATGGAACAGCTTTTCAAAGTTGTCTTGTATTTTTCTGTTCCACTCATCATATGAGACTGTTACAATCTTTCCTGAAAAATGATATAAGTTTTAAACATTCAAAGCAATTTACATACCTAGTTACAGCCAAAGAGTAATATTTAATTAACTTATTTTTATCTACTATAATAGAAGGCAATAAATTACCTATTTTTGAAAATGTAGCACATCTGAATTGAGATGTGCTACAAATGTAAAATATACATTGGATTTCAAGGACTTAGTATCACCCAAAAAGAATGCAAAATAGATCATGAATCATATTGTGTTGAAATAATATTTCACATACATTGAGTTAAATATCTTATAATTAATTTCACCTGTTTCTTTTTTGTTAGATGTGGGTACTAGAAAATTAAAATTATGTGTGTGATTCACATTATACATATTGTACAGCACTGTTTTAGAAAAAGATTTAAAGAAAAAAAGACGTAAAGATTTCAAAATTGTTCACAGAAGTGTAACTTGCTCATAGTCACACTAAGGAAAAAGAGAAGCACGATAAAAGCAATAACTGCTGCTTTTCTGTCAGTTCAAAGTTGCTATAAAAGTGTGGTTCGAAATCAGATTTGTTACAATTTTTCATATTATAAATGATTTTTCTTTCCTCTTAATCTCAAGGACTTTCTAATATTAGTTGATTGAAGCAAATGATGATTACATAGGTTGTGAATATAGATAGTTCATTTGAAGTTTCTTTGTAAATAAAACGAACAGCATACCATGTCTTTTAACTGTGACTTCATGATAAGGGAAAATATTTTTTTTCGATAATTCCAGCAACCAACGAACAGCAGATTTACTCAGGCCCACAATTTCCACAGCAGACCCATCTCTAAAATTAAAAAACAAATTTTATTCTCTAAGTTGTAGTCATTTAAGCATTGAAGTGAATTCAGCAATTTTGATGAATCATATAATTATATCATAAACAACTATCTCTCCAAATAATCCTCACTTTATAAGAATGTATATTGTATAATACAAGAAATCTCTCCTCTTACTATTTTGCCATTGTCTACCTTCCTAACGTCTTTAAAAAATTCTATGATGTAGAATGGGGATTATGGAGTAAAAGGAGATGGCAGCTGGAAAAGGCAGGGGCGGAGTGTCAGAGAATACAGAGAGCACTAGAGAAAAGACAGCAAACCTGGGATATAGGGCTGGAGAAAGCCAGCAGAGGGGGGGACATTAATGTGTTTATTTTAAAAATTTTTTTATTTTTTTGGCTTAGTGGTTTCTTGGTACACAGACATTAATTTGAAAGCTCATTTTTAAGGAAAATAAAAGGGAAGTACAAGATTTAATGTACCGAAATAGGGTTTTAAAATAATTTGCAAAGCATGTAAAGATAGTAACTTTAAATAATTACTTTTTGGACAATTCCAAGATAAAATTTAGAATAAGAAAGTAGCTTCTCAGCTTAATATACAGTATCAGAAGTTGTTTTCTGATAGCTTCTGATAATACTAATATTTTCTGATAGCTTCTGATACTATATAGAAAATTTCTGATACTGTATTAAGCATTTAAAATCATAACAATAAAAACCTCTGAATGACAAATGCTAGAAAAAAATTAGAGGGAAAAGGGTTCAGGAAGTGAAAGGATTTCATAAAAGACAGAACAACTGGTTGTTTTCCATGTTTGCGTAATAAAATGATTACAATGAAAGCAGTTCAAGTTAAGAAAATGTCTTGGCTGGGTGCAGTGGCTCACACTTGTAATTCTAGCACTTTGGGAGGCTGAGGTGGGAGGATTGCTTGAGGCCAGGAATTTGAGACCAGCCTAGACAACATAGTGAGACTCTGCTTCTATAAAAAAAATAAAATTATTCAGCATTGTGGTGTATGTTTGTAGTCTTAACTACTTGGGAGGCTGATGTGGGAGGATCCTTTGAGCCCAGGAGGTTAAGACTATAGCAAACTATGATTGTGCTACTATACTCTAGCCTGGACGACTGAGTTAGAAACTGTCTCTTTAAAAAAAAAAGAAAGTGTCTTAACTACTGGGATAATGAATTATAAAACTTTCTTTTGAGGTGCTTATAGAGAAGCAACCCATGAGAACTTCCAGGAGAGAATAGATAGTTTTGCTTGATAACTTATACCAAGAGGACTGTGTCTATATAATGAGGGATGGGAGGCTGGAGGGAGGTAGGGAAATTCTGATTTAATGTGGAGAGTTTATGGCTAATAGAATAGAAGATTACACAAGTATGTGTTTTTTAAAAAGGGTCTAATTATATATGTGCTATAAAATAAACTCTACCTTGGAGTGGCTGGGATTCCTCTGTTTCTAGCTCTGTCACTTTCTCCCATTTTATCCATCCACGTGCCGCAATTTAAGCGATTTCCTCCATAAACAAATCCTGTTTCTTCATCAACCCCTGCAGTTATATTAAAACCTAAAAAAGCAAAATAAAACATTTATGAAATAAAATGTTTCATAATAAATGTGTTATATATTGTTTATAAATATTTTAAATAAAAATATTTTATATAACTTTAAAGGAATATAATAAACTAGGACAACCACTTTGAAGCTCAGTTTGGTGATACCTTAAAAGTTGAAGATGTGAATATTCTACCACCGTAGTAATCTCATTTCTATATATACTCTAAAGAAACCTTCATTTAGGTGCACATGGACATGTGTACAAGGATATTTATTACCACACTGCTTGCATTAACAAAAAAATAAACTGCTCACTAGAAGAATGGATAAACACTGTGGTTTATTCATACAATGGTAAACTCTCTATACCATTTAAAATTAACGAACTGGATTTACATGTACCAAAATGGATAAATCTCCAAAACAAAATGATTGAATAAACAAGTTGCAAAAGGATATGTATAATAAGATACCTTTTTTGTAAAAGCTTAGTCATAGATAATACTAATATATACAACTATGTATTTTTATATGGCTAGGTCTAACATATTTGTGCAGAATTTTAAAACAAATTCATCATATATAGTGTGTATATATATGTTATAGTATACTGAATATATACTACATAGTATATAAGTAATTTATACAGGCACAAACATAAATACATAAAGTATTATACAAAAACTTCTGGTTATGGACAAGGGGAGAAGACTCATTTCTCCTGTTCTTCCTAAGTACAACAAAAATCCCTGAGTGTTATACAACAGACTATCATAAGAGGACTCTAGCTAGAAATGTCGAGACTTGAGGAATGACAGGGTGATGAGTTCCCTGGGGTTTTTTTTTTTTATTCCCCTATATCCCAGTTTGGATGAGATGTTGCACTGGAGAAGCAACGTGCAACCTCCAACAGGTGCTGACAAAAAGCTCCACAAAAAACCTGCTTACCTGGAAAGGAAAGTAATACCCCAACCAGACAGAAACTTTTATGATAACATCCACCCTATCCCAGCCCAACGCCGTGTTTGTTCACACTCCCTGGAATGTCACTGGGGATCGAATGCAAGTCCGGACTCATGTTTCCCACTTGGTGGTAGCAGATGGCCCAGGGCAGTGCTCCCCTCCCTTACTGGTGTGGTGCCAGAAGAGACCAAGTGGGGAGTCTGAACTTCTACCCCAACCTGGCAGTAGTAGCTGGCCCTGGGGCAGTATGGCAGTAGCATGTAGCCCAGTGTGGTGGTCCCCTCCCCTGCTGATGTGATGTCAGCAGAGACTGAGTGGGCAGTATGGAATTCCACCGGCACCCAGTGAGAGCAAGTAGTTTAGAACAGAGTTCCCCTCTCCTACCAGCATATTGTCAGCAGAGACTAAGAGGGAAGTCTGGACTTCCATGCCCTGCCCAGCAATGACACGGGTATTGCTCATCCTCTATGGTCAAATGTTTTTTGATAAGCATGCCAAGACTGTTCAGTGAGGAAAGGACCATCTTTTCAAAAATTAGCCCAAAATGGATCAAAGATCTAAATGTAAGAGCTAAAACTATAAAATTCTTAGACAAAAATACAGGGCAAACCTTCATGATATTGGATTTGGCAAAGATTTCTTATATATGGCACAAAAGGCACAGGCAACAAAAGAAAAAACAGATAAACTGGATTTCATCAAGATTAGAAACTTTGGTATGTTAAGGAACACCTTCAAGCCGGTGAAAAGACAACCCACAGCATGGGAGAAAATATTTTCAAACCACAGCTAATAAAAGTTTAAAATCCAGAATATACAAAGAACCCTACAATTCAACAACAAAAACCCAAACGACCCAGTTTAAAAATGGGCGAAGGACGTGAATAGACATTTCTCCAAAGAAGATATACGTATGACTAATAAGCACATGAAAAGATGCTCACCATCATTGATCATTAGGGAAATGCAAATCAGAACCATGAGATACGACTGCATACCCATTAGGATGGCTACTATCAAAAAAACAGCAAATAATATGTATTGGGGAGGATGTGGCAAAATGGAACCCTTGTGCGCTGTTGGTGGGAATGTAAAATGGTGCAGCCACTGTGGACAGTTCCCCAAAAAGGTAAACAAAGAATTATCACGTGATTCAGTAATTCTACTCTAGGTATGCCCAAAAGAACTGAAAGGAGGGACTCAACAGACATTTGTACACCAATGTTCACAGCAGCATTATTTGTAATAGCCGAAAGGTAAAAACAACCCAAATGTCCACTGATGAACAGATACACAAAATGTGGTATATACATACAATGGAATATTATTCAGCCTTAAAAAGGAATGGAATTATCATATATATGATAAGGGGTTAATATCTAGAATATAAGGAACTTCTACAACTCAACAACCAAAAACCAAATGATCCAATTAAAAAATGGGCAAAAGACTTGAATAGATAATTCTCCAAAGAAGACCTATAATTGGCAAACAAGCATATAAAAAGATGCTCAATATTGCTAATCATTAGGGACATGCAAACCAAAACCATAATGAGATATCACCTAACATTTGCTAGGATTGTTACTATCAAAAGAACAGAAAATGACAAGTATTTATGAGGATACAGAGAAATTGAAACCCTTGCTCACTGTTGGTGTGGTGTAGCCATTATGGAAAACATTACAGAGGTTCCTCAAAAAATAAGAAACAGAATTACCATATGATCTAGAAATTCTACCTCTGGATATATACCCAAAAGAACTAAAAACAGGATCTTGAAGAGAGATTTGCATAACCATATTCACTGCAATATTATTCACAAGAGCCAAGAGGTGGAAGTGATCCAAATGTCTGCTGACAGATGAATGGATAAAGAAAATGTAGTATACATACAATGGAATATTATGCAGCCTTACAAAAAAAGGAAATTCTGTCATATGCTACCGTGTGGACAACCTCAGCATTATGCCAAATGAAATCAGTCACAAAAGGATAAATACTGTATTTTACTCATTTGAAGTATCTAAAGTTGTCAAAATCATAGAGAAAGTAGAAAAGTGGTTGTGAGGGACTAGGAGGAGTGCAGAGGGAGGAAGAATTAGTGTTTAATAGGTATAGAGTTTATTTTGCAAGATGAAAAGTTCTAGAGATCAGTTGCATAACTATGAATATACTTAACACTACTGAACTTAAAAATGGTTAAGATGGTAAAATTAATGTTATGTGTTTTTTCTCACAATAAAAAAAGACTCAAAAAAGAGAAATGAAATTCTGACACATCCTACAACATGGCTGAACCTTAAAAGAATTATTCTAAGAATGTATATAACTATCATGTATCAATTTTAAAAAAAGGATTCAGAAAGAAATTATACTAAGTGAAATAAGCCAGATCCAAAAGGGCAACTATTTATAACTCCACTTATGTGAGGTACTTAGAATGGTCAAATTAACAGGGAGAGAAAGTAGAACGGTGGTCACCAGGGGCTGCGAGAGGGGATGATGTGGAGTTACCGTTTACTAGGTAGAGTTTCGGTTTGGGAGGATGACAAAGTTCTGGAGATGGATAGTGATGATGGCTGCACACAGCTGTGAATGTACTTAAAGCAACTAAATTTTTACACTTAAAAATGGCTAAAATGGTCAATTTCATGGTAAAATGATAAACATGCATATACATATTTTACCACAATAACAAAATACCCTCAATAGTCAAAAAGCCAATACTCGAGAAAATGGGCAAAAGACATGAACTGACATTTCAAAAAAGTGGGGAGATGGATGGGAAATAAGCACATGAAAAGATATTCAACACCATCAGCTATTAGGGAAATGCAAATTAAAACCACAATATGTAGTGGTCTATGCAACTTACATAACAGCTTAAAAAAGTGTGGTAACACCAAAAACTCTTTAGATATGGAGAGACTGGATCTCTCCAGTTTGCTGGTGGGAATTTACAATGGTACAACCTCTCTGGAATAGTCTGGCAGTTTCTTATAAAATAAAACATGTACTTATTATATGACCCAATCTCATTCTTGGGCATTTATATCAGAGAAATGAAAACCCACGTGTCACACAAAAACCTGTATATGAATGTTCATAGTACCTTTATTTATATTAACATTAGCCAAAAATGGAAACAACCCAAATGTCCTTCAGTGGATGAATGGTTAAATAAACTGGTATATGCAAAAAAAGGAATAAACTATTGATGCATGCAACAACTTGGATGATCTCAAGGGCATTATGCTCAGTGAAAAAAACCAATCTCAAAAAGTTATATACTGTATGATTCCATTTATATTACATTCTTAAAATGGTAAAACTATAGAGATGCAGAACAGATTAGCAGTCGCCAGAGACCAGGAGTAGGGGTGAAATAGGTAGGTATGACTATAAAGGGGTACACAAAGATATTTGTGATGATAGACCAGTTCTGTATCTTGATTGTGGTCATAGGGTCAAATTGCATGGAACTACACACACACACACACACACACACACACACACACAAACACACACAAACAAGTTAATGTAAAAACTGGTAAAAACTGAAAACACCATACTAATGTTAATTTCCTGATTTTGATAATGTACCACAGTTATATACAGTACTTCCATTCGAAGAAGCTGGGTAAAAGGTTCAAGATACTCTAGGTATCATTTTTGCAACCTCTTACGAGTCTCTAATTCTTTCAAAATTACAAAATTAAAAAAAAAACTACAGGCATATAAAATGAAACATGCTTTACAAAACAAATATACAACAAACCCACTGGAATGGTTCTCTAAGGGGAATGGGGAATAAAACGAAATAAATTATTATTAGCTTTGTATTGGCTGATGATGAGAGTGTGTCATAAGATGAGGAATATGATGATCTCAAAAGTTAAAGCATATTTATTTTAATTCCATATACAAATAATCTTTTTAACAAAAAGTACTTTATAAGGGCCTGGGCTACAGAGACAGACCATGGATGAAATCCTACCTCTGCCATTTAGTAGCTATGTGACTCTGAGCAAGCTACTCTGCTTTGGTCTTTTCATTGTGTAAAAACGGAAACGATATAACTCATTCTCAATGTCCTTGGGAATGTTAAATGGGGATAACATAGGCAAAGTAGTTATGACGATGCCTAGCACTTAGCGCTCAGTCAATGGCAATTATTACGATTATAAATGCAACTACCAAAATTATCTTTCAAACTGGCTAACAAAAGATAAGAAATTTTCTTTCCTCTAGAAATTATAAACTGAGATTAGGAAATGTTAATCTTTTTCACTGTTATATCCCGAGGGTTTGCACACAAACAAATACTTACCAAGTAAACAAATAATCACAAGGCTTAATTTCACTTCAGTAAATATTTACTATGTAGTTAAATTTATGTACCTTCATCCTTCATGTTTCGATCTATCTGTGGACCAGCATTCCTTTCTCGGAACTGTATGCCCTGCATGTGTCTTTGCATAGTTTCCTGTATTACTTCAAACAATGGTTGATCCTGTTTGAGATATAATGGATGTTACCTCTGTTAGAAATTACATTTTTCTTATCTTTCCCCACATCCTACAATTGAAGTGATACGAAAATATATATTTTCCTTTGGAGGAAAAAACAAGGATCAGGATGTGGCTGAGGAAAGAAGCAGCTCCTATACACATGATGCAGTTTGGCATACGAATATTTAACATCAGTAGTTTTGGCTATTCATGTCTATGACGTGAAATAATTTATAATTTTGCTGATACATAAAAACCAATCTAGTGAGCTTATACAGTTTCTATTAGAGTGAACTGTTCAGCTAATGAATGAACCTAGCTTGTCAAAATGCTGAACCCATTTTAAATTGGCAATGCTATTCTTACTAATCTGCTTCTGTAGGTAACGGGGATAAACAGTGTGCGAAAGGGGTATCTCAAATTTGAGGATCTACGATGACTTTGGAAAATATCCCTGGTGAATGCAGAGTCCGTAAGTCATTTTCTTTACCCAAATAATTAATAAATGTGATATTAAGGATGACATATAGGGAAATATATAATTATATTCTAAAAAATAAGGTAAAGAATGTTAAATAAAAGTAAAATGTTTAGAATCCTTATATGTTTATTATGTCTCATTTAAAAAAAACTAAATAAAATGAAAACTCTATCATATAAAAATCCTACTAGTAATTATAAAATTATGAAGCTATGGAAAATTTTCTTGGACAAACTGTGAGAAAACAAATAGTTATATAAGGAATAAATATTTTCCTGATAGCATGAGCTAATACTCACTATAGCTGAAGTGTCAGTCAATAATAGAAGACAGGTAAAAAAATTTTTTTGGACAAATGTTTTTTGAATACTTCATGATACAAATAAACACCATGGGGACACAAGTATATGCTAACCTTGAAGAGGTTCACCTAGATATTATACCATCCCCCACAGTCATATATACCAAACAAACTATAATATAAAGACAGACCAGGAGTGGAAAAAGTACAGTATCATTGCACATTCTTGATTAAGGAAAAAAACACTAAAAAATGTGTCCATTCTTCAATGTTCATAAGAAAAGCTCTAAACTCCCTGGACTGTTAGTCAAGGCTCTCCATAACCTGCTTCACCCTTTCTACTCTCTATCACTACCCTGCAGGTGGCCTGAACACAAAGCCAAAGCAGACTGTGCCGTATGTCCTCTAAACCGTGCTTCAGTCCATTATGTGCTTTATTACGCCTTCCATCTTTAACGTTTCTCCACAACTTTCCCCATCTCTCCTGAAATCCCACTCACCTTTTAAAGCTCATTTAAGTAAACTTTTAGGTACTTTCCAAAGTTCTCCCTGAGACCCACCTGCTAGATTTCTCCCTCCCCTTTAAGCAATTACATAGGACTTCCTCTGTACCTCTTTGCAATTTATGTACACATTATCTCTTTTACCATGTTGCAAGCTCTTTAGGCAAGGCGCAAGTCTTATTTCTGCAATCCCTAATAGTACCAGCAGGTGCTAAAAAAATACTGATATTTGAATAATTCTTAAGATTAGGATTCTTAATTATATTTGTTTTATGTTAGAAGCTAAAAGTTATTTTTCAGGAAAAGATTATTTAAAGAAATGATCTTTACCAGTGTGCCAGCAGGCAAAGGAACAGAGTCATCTGTAGGATACATTCTGGATACTGGGCACTTGAGAATTTCTAGACCATTTGGAACCATTTTACAGTAATCCTGAATACACTGTAGCCACCACCACACAGCATCCCGGCAATTGTATCTGGCATAAGTTCCTTCACCGAGGAGATTAGGAATGAGACCATGCCTCAGGGTACCAGCAAATGCTAAAATAATATTCCTAAAATAACAGAATAAAGTGGATCACTTGAAATGAAAACATTTAAAAAATTAAAGACAAAAGCCAGTCACTACTTGTGATGATATTATAGATGCATTTTTCTCTCCTGCCCTATTTCTTTATATTTTCATGTAGAAAGTAATCATAGTATGATAGAACAAGCATTGAACTAAAGTCAGAAACCTCAATTCTAGCCTAGGATGTTTCTCTAACAACCTATGTAACTTAACCTCTCTGGTACAGTTTTTTCATCTGTGGAATGAGGTACTGGACTCTACTTTTGAAATCTGTGGTATTTCAAAATCTAAGTAACTACTAAATATGAACTTTATTATTTTAAATAGAAGAAACCAAGAGCAAAACAAACATAAGAAAACAAATTGGTAGAAGCTGACCTTGAAAAACATAATTCATGTTTAAAAACTGGTAGAAGATAGCTTATCTCTTAAAGTGTTATTCTACTATTATATATCAAATGACAACTTATTTTGTAAGAGAGCACGGCATTTTAGAAAGAGCATGAGATCGAGAAATAAGAAGGCTGACGTCTAAATCCTAGCTTTGCCATCTAGATAACCTTGGAAAAAAGTCATTTAAAATGTCTAGACCTTAGTGCTTTTTGGTTAAACTATTCCAAAATTTCATTAATTCCATGTCTCAGCTTAATGTCTTTCTTTCAAATAATAGCGCACCAGGAAACTATTTTCTAAAGTAGAAAAGTGTTAGTATGAACAGCGATACTTCCAATTAATAAAAGGTCAGAGTGCTACCAATCTTAACCATCTGGAACAATGTTATACACTTGAATTAAAAGCCCCTCTGATTCATGAATACCTTTGTAGAGGGAGGAAGCAGAACCATCTGTGGTAGAGATATGTGTCCACCCAAATGGGCTTCCTATATTTCCTAACCAAACTTAACAGTTAGTTGTGGCCAAGTGACTGTATTCTAAGCAACAGAATGAGAATAGAACTGATACATGTTTAAGTGTAGGGAAAATAGGTGTGTTTCCCTAGGTTCTTTCCCTCTCTACCAGCTGCCTGGAGAGGACTCAGAAGCCATGGAAGATGATAGATCCTCAAGACAGAAGGACCCTGTACCCCTGAATCACTATGTGGAAAGTTGCCTACTGACTACAGCAAGAAATAAATTTTGTTTGTGAAAAGCCATTGGAATTTAAGTGTTTATAATTTATAGCAGCTAGCATTACCATAACAAATACATTATCCTCCGGGAATCATCTAGATCAGGGGTAGGCAAACGTTTTCTATAATGGGTCATATAGTAAATATTTTAGGCTTTGTGGGCCATATATGGTCTCTGTCACATCTTCTTCTTTTTAATGACCCTTTAAAAAGGTAAAAGCCGTTCTTTGCTCACAGGTTATACAAAATAGGTGACAGGTCATAGTTTGCTGACCCATGATCTACATAGCCATATGTAAAGTTAAGAAGCAGAAATTTGTGATAGTGCATAGAAGTGATCAATGGGAGCCCCCTAGAGTAGTATTCTGAACTTTAGCCTTAGTCTGCTGATAACCATCTGGAGACCTTGTGAATACACAGATTTCTGCCCACCAATCCCACCCACCCATCCCCAGGATTGGATTCAGGAGGTCTGGCATAAGGACTAAGAATCTGCATTTCTAACAAATTCTCAGATGATGGTGACACTACTGATTTGTGGAACACACTTTGGCACTGCTGTAGAGCTTTTAACCTCTGATAAATTCATTCATACATAAGAGAACACTATTTTAAGTCTAGAAAACATAAAGCTAGAGCTTACAAGGTCTGACAACAAATAGAAGAAAGCTTGATATTGTAATTCTTTCTAAAGACTCAAAGAGCTAGCAGTGGCTTCATTATAGAAGGCATAAAATGGTTATAAAATTTTTAATTTTATTGAAATAATTAGCTAATGCTAAAGATAATCTGACCTGTAATGTGAAGAACTAGAACTTAGTAACTTTAAAGATTTTCATCCTTTTGAAATTCTATAATTTTATTAAGCAAACATAAAATAAAATAAAAAACACCCAAAGAAAACATAACACCCAAATGTTGTTGAGAATAGATGGGTAAGAAGGACAGTTTGAAGAGTATGTAAAAAACATTTAGACATAAACTTGCATTGGAATACTTTAGAAGGTCTCCTACCTGGCCTCTATATAGCGTCCAGTAATCAGCAGTGTGCCTCTAAGCGCAATAAAAGTATCCCTTCCCCAGCAGCGGAAAAGACCAGAAGAAAAATGAGGTAACCCTAACAGAAAACACAACAAAGTAATATGTTAATTGTAATAATACACATAAATTTATGAACTCTATTACTATAGAAACAGTTGCTCTAAACCTGGAGTATAAGTTTTAAGGAATCTGCAACCCCCCTAAACTTTTTTTTTTTTGTTGAGACAGGGTCTTGCTCTATTGCCTGGGCTAGAGAGCAGTGGTGTCTTCACAGCTCACCACAACCTCAAACTCCTGGGCTCAAGTGATCCTCCTGCCTCAGCCTCCCAAGTACCTAGGAGTATAGGTGTGTACCACCATGCCCAGCTAACCTTTCTATTTTTTTTTGTAGAGATAGGGTCTTGCCATGTAGCTCAGGCTGGTCTGGAACTCCTGGCCTGAAGTGATCCTTCCGCCTCAGCCTCCAAAAGTACTAGGATTACAGGCGTGTGCCACCATGCCCAGCTAACCCCCTAAAAATAACTGTAAAATGCATGATTATACTTATGTCAACTTTTGTGGAATGAGGTTCTATAGTCTTACCAGTTTCTTAAAGGAATCTGTGACCCAAAAGAGATTAAGAACCAGTGCTAGAGAGAGATGCTCATCTGAATTGATGTGTGAAAACACAGATAAATTTTCTTTTATAAACTAAATTTAAAGATTAAAATCAGAGATCAAATATTTAACATATAAACACTCAATATTAATTATGTATTTAAAAAGATTCCACCCTGAATTTAAGGATGATAAATAAATCTAAACATGAAAAGATTACCTTAATGATACTTAATTAAACGTGTCTATTAATCTATCACTCTAGAGTCAAAATTTATTACCAAATGTCCCATTAATTTAAAACGGGTGGGGAACCTGCAGCCTTAAGGCCACATGTGGCTTTCTAGGTTTTTAAGTGTGGCCTTTTGACTGAATCCAAATTTTACACAGAACAAATCCTTTTACTTTTATTAATACATTTTTGTTCATCTTTCATATTTTTATTTTATTTTTAAAATGAACATATTTAAAATACCAAAGAATAAAATAAATTTCAACAAAATAATCCTCCCAGATTCTCTGACACAATTAGAACATTAGTAAGCTGTAAGGGCTAAATTGACAGCTGCTACGCTCATGATTTAGTTCTAACTTCCACCGCCTGACTGGCGCCACTACCGCAGGAGGCTGGTTGGTGAGAGTTTCGGGGGGTTGATTATGCCAGTCTGTTACCAGCTTTTGACAACGGTGCACTGTGTTTCGGTTTCAAGTGGAATTTGTGAATAGTTGCACAGCTCTATAGTATTTTTTAATTTTGTCTACTTAGTAGCCCATCATGTCAAAGAAGAACAAAAGAATGCTAGAGGAAGAAAACAGATTTTTTAATGAGGTTTGGGAATTGCAATATTATCTTGTTTCTGCTAAAGATAAGATGATTTGCTTGCTTTGTGATACTGCAATATCAACATTAAAGAAATTCAATGCTCATCAGCATTATAACACTTATAAGGACCACAAATATTTTAAATTTGAGAGGCGTGAAAGGTTGCAATGCAGAAATTAAAAAATAAAAAGCAAAGCAAAGATAATTCTTTCAAGCAGCAATAAGACCTGGAAATAATGCCAGTGAAGCAACTTATAAAGCAGTTTATATACTTGGGGAAAAAGAAAAGCCATTCAGGGATGTAGAAACTGTGAAAGAATGCATTGTTGAAGTTGTAGAATGCTTAGAGCCTGATAACGTGCCTCTTTCAAGGAGAACCATAAGTGATTGGCAGCATGAACTTGCCCTCAACAGAACAACTTCATACAATACTTAAAGGAAAATATATATTATTAAATCACTTTGGATGAATCAACTGCTATTATTGACTTGGCACAGGTTTTATACTTCATTCAGGTCATAACAGAAGATTTTCTTTGCTACAAAGAGTTACGGCTTTGGGCACTCTTGTGAACAGAACATGGGGAATAGATATCTTCAACAACTTTCAAGATAAGCGTCATGAAGTTGGACTGAATTTGGTAAATTTAGTGAGTGTATTAGGTCATTAAATATGAAAGGTCCAATTTCGAATCAAAAGTGTAGTTTATTGTATCTCAAACAAGAAGCAGTACAAAATTAAAGTATGCACCTAAACTACTGACACAGTTTTGCCATCTTAACAGTAGCTTGTTTATGTGAGTAGCAAAGAAGGCCGGAGAACAAGTGGCAATGAAATTGCAAAAGGCGTTTTCCACAGCTTGTTGAGAATGAATATTTTTCCTTGCAAGAAGTGGTCCAAAGCCTGGAAGAAGTGGTAGTCAGTTGGTGCAAGGTCTGGTGAATACGGTGGATATCAGAGAGTTTCCAGGTCCAGCTTCTGCAGTTTGAGCAGCATTGTTGGTGCAACGTATGGTTGAGTTGTCCTGCAAGACAATTGGACTGTCTCTATTGACTAATTTTGGCTACGTAATTGTAGCATCCTTATCACTTCATCCAGCTGGTTGCAGTAGACATCTGCTGTAATGGACTGACTAGGTTTCATGACCCTGTAGTGAATAATACCAGTGTTGGACCACCAAATAGACACTATTAGCTTTTTTTGATGAATATTGTTTTGGACTGTGTTTAGGTACTTTATCTTTATCCAACCATTGTGCTACATGCTTTCAATTGTTAAGAAGAATCCATTTTTCATTACACATAACACTAGGGTGTAGAAATGGTTCACCTTTATGTCGTGCCAGCAAGGAAAGACAAGCTTTGAGACAATTTCTCTTCCAACATTTGTTTAATTTATGCGGAACCCACGTATCCAGCTTCTTTACCTTGCCGATTTGTTTCAAATGGTCCAATATCGTTGGAATAGTAATGTTAAACCTTGCTGCTAATTCATGCATAGGTTGAGATGGATTCGCTTCCACCTCAGTTTTCAGTTCACCATTATCCACTCTGGTGTCATGTCACCCACATAGCTCACTCTCAAGATCAAAATCACAAGAATGGAACTTCTCAAACCAATGTACTGTGCATGCATTAGCCACATCCTTCCCAAACACTTCGTTGATATTTTGAGCTGTCTGTGCTGCTGCACTGGTTCCATGACGGTACTCATATTAGAAAATAACACGAAATTTTGACTTATCCATCATATCATAAAAATTGCTCTAAAAAAGTCTGAAAGATAATCACAAGCCAAAACATGTTTGAAAGACTGAGGATTTACCTTCACAATAAAAATAAAACACGAAGTGTCAAAGTGAAATGTCAAAGACATTAACTGTCAAACTTAGTACTTAAGGAAATCGGACATTTCATACTTAATAACCTAATATATACAGATGGTGCATCTTTCATGACAGAAAACATGAAGGATTTATTGCACAGATTTAAAAAAAGGTATTAACAGATCGCGATGCTCTCATTTCTTTTCATTGTATTTTGCATCAACAAAATCTCTGTGCTAAAGCTGCTATTTTACATGACACTTTGCAACAAGTTACAAATATTGTTAACTATATTCACGCAAATGCAACACAGCATCATTGTCAGTTTTGTAACATGCTAAAGTTGAGCCATCAGGTATTCAGTGTGGATTTGCCTATCATTCTAAAGTGTGCTGGCTATTTCAGGGATAGGTGTTACCCAAAATTTTACCTCTGTGAGAGCAGATAGTTAAATTATATGAAGAACAGAATCAGCAGTGTGAATTATTGAAAGATGATTTCTACAGGAATGCAGCATTTCTGTGTAATATCATGCCAAATCAAAATGACTTTAATATTTCTTTGGAGGGTAAAATTAAGTTTATATATGATATGCGTCAAAAAAATCCAAGCATTTAAAAAAAAAACTATCATTTTTCAAAACATTTCTTGAAAAGGAAATTTAGGATGAACATTTTCCGCAGTTAGCAAAGGTCACTGATGAGCACGATGATATATGCAAATCATGTGAAGAATCTGCAGCTGCTGCAGACCTATTAATTTGAGAACACAAAGTAAGGTTCACTGATTTTGAGAATCATGACATCACACTCAAATTAGCATTTCAGCCTCACCTAGCTGATATCACCAAGGCACCTAAAGAACTACAGATGGAATTGATCGAGCTCTCAGTAGATGACATTTTAAAGTCATTGTCTGATGCTAAGAAAGATCCAGTTGAAATATGGAAAAATGCTGTAGAATACCCATGCCTGTGGCAACATGTCCCCAAAATGCTTTCTTATTTTTCAACCACTTATTGCTGTGAATCTACCTTCTTCTACCTAACCCAAATCAAGACACCCTCAAGGTCACAAATGACTGATATCCATCTAGAAGATCAAATGAAACTGCAGACCTCCATGCTGCAGCCAAATATTCAAATGCCTTCCAACAAGAAGCAGACACAACAAAGTCATTAAAAGGTTAACTTTAAAATTAACAAATAGTTTTCATTTTTTGAAATTATTAGGTACACAGTAGTTAGATTTTTACAAAATAATGTACATTTTTAAGTATATCTAATTGAAGTTTCTTAAATGAGGGCTTATTTGATTATACCTAAATAAATACAGCCTTTGAACATCAAAAGGTTCCCCAACCCGATTTAAAACATTTTAAAGTGTTATATGTCGGCCGGGTGCAGTGGCTCACGCCTGTAATCCTAGCACTCTGAGAGGCTGAGGCGGGCAGATCGTTTGAGCTCAGGAGTTCAAGACCAGCCTGAGCAAGAGCGAGACCCTGTCTTTACTAAAAAAATAGAAAGAAATTGGCTGGACAACTAAAAATATATAGAAAAAATTAGCCGGGCATGGTGGTGCATGCCTGTAGTCCCAGCTACTCAGGAGGCTGAGGCAGAAGGACTGCTTGAGCCCAGGAGTTTGAGGTTGCTGTGAGCTAGCCTGACGCCACGGAACTCTAGCCCGGGCAAAAAGAGTGAGACTGTCTCAAAAAAAAAAAAAAAAAAAAAAGTGTTTTTTATATGCTGTACACAGTACATACAGTTTTTGTCAATTAAAAATTAATTTATAGGAGGAGAAAAAATGGCGGAGTTAAGGTAACCTCCCGGAT